GTGAGGATAGTAATTTGTAAATTATAAATGATGTTTTTATTAATCTGCTATTCTTCTTTTAATCTACTCAAAGCTCCCAATTTCTCGATCTCCCCAAACTCCATCTTACTCTGTCCCACTCTTGGTAGCTCTGGTTCTCAAGGGCACAGCCCCTTAAAGTTCTAGTTCAATGGTAACTAGGAGAATCCTGTAGTAATCATGTGTCAATGTTTGAGTAGAGCCTTTGACAAGCTCCCTCCTGCTATTCTTGAGATTAAGATTCAGAGAAAGACAGTAAAGAGCCCAGTGTGGCAAATTCAGAATGTGTCAAATACTCAGACCCAAGAAAATTCAATAGTGGATCACTGTCAACTTGGAAGGTGGTCTATCCTAATCCCCTGCCTGCTAATATCAAATGCAATAATATTTGTAAAGTACTTAACCCAGAACCTGTAATATAGTAGGTGCTATATAACTGCTAGCTAACATCATCATGATCATAATCCTAGCACTAGTACCCTGGCTATATTCACAGACACTCTATTGAATGACTGAGCAGTGTTACCAACCAGGTCATTTGAAAATTCACCAGGTAGAAGAACAATAACAAATCGAGAGGATGAGTTTACATTAGAAAATTTCAGCCTTGATACTGTAGTATGGGGCAATTATAAGTTTTGTTTCTGCAGAACATTTTTGATGATCCGTAATTGTTTTAAGAATGCTTTTAAAGAAAATGCCCAGTGAATCTGCTTTCCAAACCTCTTGATTCTTCAGCTTTAAGAATACCAAAGTTCATAAAATCTTCATAATATAATGTCAAATGTTTCCTAGTTGATGAGACACAATTACGTGGTGATTGAAGGAAACAAGGGAGATGCTCTGGGACAGCGGACAGAATGAAAGATAGGGAATGCACCTGTGTGACCTCCATTCTGAATAATATTGTATTTAAATGTGCAATCCTTGTGGTAGTGTGGATATAATGCAAAATGTTGAAAAACTGAAATATCTCATATTTATGAAGAAACAGTCCAAGAGTTTGATGTAATATTTGCACATATTCTTAAATTGTTTTGCTTATGATCATGACACTTCCAAATTGCTACAGAAATAAGCCTAAAACGTTTCAAACTTTTTCATGCTTGTGGTCATAGAGGGAAAAAAAAAATTTTGCAATATAATTGAGAGATTATTAATACTTATGGTACTAATAAAATGTGATTAGCTACAACCCCAAAGAGTTTGTGAACCACTAAATGGGAAACACTGTACTAACTGAACCATTCTACCTCTAATCGGTGGAACTATTCTGGCTCCTAGTCCAGCCTTTCACAACGTAGATGCTTAGAAGGTACTTGTTGAATTTCATTCAGAAAAGTGAATGGAAGCTCAACTCTGAACTGAATACTCCATGGGTAGGGTGTTAGTGATGTCTATAGAATGTACCTTCTTCAAACCTTCAATTCTCAGCTGACAATAATGACTGTGTTTCCTGGTCATTGAAGCTTATTGTGTTTACTGAAGGGGATCATGTGTCTGCTTTCCTCAAATGTGTACTTTTCTACGTGTATGCTATACTGGCAAACATAAAGCATAGTAATGAATAAAAGAAGCATTAAAAAGCATTTATTAAGTGTCTACACAATACAAAGAACTGTACCAAGGGCTAAGGATACATGTTGAAAAGAAAAGGACCCCTGCTTTCAAGGGCTCACATTCTAATCTGGGAGATGACACATGTAAGATGTTTCAGATGCAAGTGTCATATAAAGGATCAGGCTGAATTGATAGAGCAAATGGAACATATCTACATTAATATTGTTTTCACTCATATTATTATTTATTTATCATTTCATCGTTTAAAGACTATATCAATGACTAATGGTTAACCATTTGACAATGCTAATAACCTTGGTGACAAGAATATTTTCCACCTGGGCCACTAGGTGGTGCAGTGAATAAAGCACTAGCCCTAGAGTCAGGAGGACCTGCTTTCAAAAGTGACCTCAGACACATCATACTTACTAACCGTGTGACCCTGGGAAAGTCATCTAACTCCACTTGCCTCTTAAAAATAATAAAATTTAAAAATTTTTAAAAAGTAATTTAAAGAAGAATATTTCCCCCCCCAGGTCTTCAGTAGCACTGGCTACAGAGAGGGCAGGGGGTGTAGAACTTGGAGAACTAGGTGCCTAATTACAGGAGTTACTCCCCTGGATGATGCCTTCAAGGAAGGTGCTGGAAGCAGGCTGGGTGACCTCAGAGTTTCCACTACTCCCAGGACCTTTAGGTTCACCTGTCTTTTAATTAGAATTATTTAGTGGGCTGATTGATTCCAGCCCAACACCAGATAAACTGCCAGAACCCTACAGCCTCCAACTGCCAACATTGGAGGCCCTTGCACACAAAGTCAGTGACCAGGCCCTAGGCTCCCGACAGAAGAAGCTTGGGTCAGTGCCCTCTGCTCCCCAGCAGGAGAGATCAATCTCTTTAAAGGTCAGGAAATTAGCAAACATCATGAGCAAAAAGAAATGTGCGATAGATTCTTATTATGGAAAGAGTGAAGATCAAGGCAGAAATTCTGAAGAGGACAACATTGTCAACAAACCCACATCTGGAACTTCAAAATGGAATATGAACTGGTCTGAAGATCAAAAAGCCTTCTTGGAAGAGCTCAAGAAGGATTTGAAAAGTCAGATGAGAGAAGCAGAAGAAAAAATGGGAAAAGAAATCAGAGGTGTGCAAGAGAGTCAATAGCTTGGAAAAGGAAAGACAAAAATTAGCTGTAGAAAACAAGTCCTTAAAAAATACAATTGGCCAAATGGGGAAGGAGGTACAAAATTTAATAGAAGAAAACAATTTGTTAAAAATTAGAATCAGGCAACTGGAAGCTAATTACTCCATGAGAGAGCAAGAATCAAACAAAAACAAAAAAATGAAAAAATAGATGAAAATGTAAAATACCTCACTGGTAAAACAACTGACCTGGAAAATTGATCTAGGAGAGACAATTTTAAAATTATTGGTCTACCTGAAAATCATGATGAAGAAAGAGCCTAGACAGTGTCTTCCAGGAAATCATAAAGGAAAACTGCCCTGAGGTCCTAGAACCAGAAGGTAAGATAGCTATAGAAAGAACCCACCAATCACCTCCTGAAAGAGATCTCAAAATGAAAAAAAACAAGGAATATAGTAGCCAAATTTCAAAATTACCAAGTCAAAAAGAAAATACTGCAAGCAACCAGAAAGAAACAATTTAAATATCATGGAGTCACAGTCAGGATTACACAGGACCATGCAGCTTCTACATCAAAATACCATAAGGCATGGAATATGATGTTCTGTAAAGCAAAGGAGCTTGGATTACAACCAAGGATCAACCACCCAGCAAAAATGAGCATGATCTTTCAGGGCAGGATATGGATATTCAATGAAATATGGGACTTCCAAACCTTCCTGATAAAAAGACCAGAGTTTAACAGAAGATTTGGTCTTCAAATACAAGACTCAAGAGAGACATAAAAAGGTAAATGGGACAGAAAGAAACATGTTATTAATAAGGGCAAACTGTTTACATCCCTTCAAGGGAAGATGACAATCGTAACTCTTGAGAACTGTATTGTTATTATAGCACATTAAAGGGTTATCCATAAAAGGGGTTGGTATAAATTGACTTTGATATAATGCTAAAAAGAAATCTAATCAGGTGGGTTAAATGGATCCAAATAAGTGGATTAATCTGATCTAAGAAAATGTACTGAGAAAGGAGGAGGCAGACAAGGGTAAATTAAGTTACAGGAAAAGACACAAAAGCCTATTAGGGCAGGGAGAAAGAAGGGAGTGAGATGAGTATTGTTTGAACCTTACTCCCATCAGACTTGCTCAAAAAGAGAATAATATAATCAGTTAAGTATAGAAATCTAACTTGCCCTATAGACAGTAGGAGGAGAAAGGTGAAAGAAAAGGGAGGGGGGATAGAAGGGAGAGAATAAGTAGTAAGGGTAAGGAAGAAGAAAAAAGAAGGGGTCTAACAGAAGGGAGGTATGACTGAGGGAGGTGGTGGTCAAAAGCAAACCATTAGTGAGGAGGGAAAAGGAGAAAGGAGAAAGAAAAACAACCAGGAGAAAAAAGATGGAGAGAAAGACACAGAAAATAATCATAACTGTGAATGTGATATATGAATATAATTGAATACTATTGTGCTATAAGAAATGATGAGCAGGCAGAGTTCAGAAAAACCTGGAAAGATGTATGGTTTGAAGCTGAGTGAAGTGAGAAGAACCAGGAGAACATTGTACACAGTAACAGCCTCGTTGTGTGACGACTAATTTTGATAGACTTAACCCTTCTCAGCAATACAAGGATCTAAGACATCTCCAAAAGCCTCACGATGGACAATCTATCCACATCCAAAGAAAGAACTATGGAGTTTGAATGCAGATTGAAGCACACTATATGCTATTTTATTTCTTTGGTTGTGTTCTGTTTCTCTTTCTGGTAGTTCCTCCTATTAGTTCTAATTCTTACTTACAACATCACTAATGTGCAAATATGTTTAGTAGGAATGTTTACATATAGCCTATATCAGATTGCATGCTTTCATGGGGAGGGAGATGGGGGGGAGGGGGAGAAAATTTTAAACTCAAAAGCTTATGGAAATGATTGTTGGTCAATCAAAATAAATTAATAAAGAAAAGAGAATTGTTTAGTGATAGATGTTGATAGTGAGGGACATAGTAGGTTCCCTACTTCTCAGGTAGCATACACTTTTTAGAGAATTAAATTTTATATGTATATATGTGTGTGTGTGTGTGTGTGTGTGTGTGTGTATGTATATATGTATATGCATGTATATATATATATATACACATGTATATATGTATATGCATGTATATATATATATACACATATATATTCATATATGCATATGTGTGTGTACAATGTTAGCACAATGCCTGGCACATATTAAGTACTACATAAATGTTAGTTATAAATTATGATGATGAGGATGAGGATGATAATATAGTATTCATCCTGTTCTCCATATTTCTTCTAGCAATTATGGATTTTAGATAAAGGTTAGATTATGGACTCTAGTTTATTGCCTGTTTCCACCAGGTTCTAAGAGCTGGTGGGGTTCAATATGGTAATTATGGGAGTTTGATCTACATGCTGCCTGCCTGAGTGTACTTGTTGCTTCCTAGCTGTCTTCACTTTTGAGTTACTTCTCCTTTAATTTTGAATGTAAAGATATTCCCTGCATGGTAATACAGATGCTCCATATGGTAGGTTCTGGAATAGCTCCCCAGAAAGGACCTTCATTCGTAGTCTACTTATATTAGATTCATTCAAATTACTGAATATCATCTCTGAGATCTTCCTCAGTGAAGTGATTCACAGATGCGGAGGAGTTTTCCCAGAGGTTCACTTCTAATGATAGCTAACTAGAGATTGGGAAAACCTTTTCTGAGGTTAAGGACAACCAAGGAAAGGTCAAGGAAAGTCAGATCCTCCCACATGTGCTAGGTGGAGCTCACAGGGGTTGTATGGGGACCAGGAGGATGGACTCTCATTTCCTTCAATTCAGGTATCTGGAATCAGTGGTGATATGCAAACAACAGACCAGGCACCAAAGGTCCATAGAATTTTTGAGAGGGATAGAGTGAGGGAATGACAGAATTGTAGAGTCAAAGGACTCCCAGAGGTCATCAAATTTAATCGATGACTGAAAAGGAATTTTCTCTCTAACACACCCCGTAAGTAGATACCTCATTGAAGCCCTCCAGGGAAGGAGAGTTCTTCTGCCAATTGTGAATTGCTTCATTGTTTTCAGGAAACTTTTTCTTGCATTGAGACAAAATTTGCCTCTGAACCCTGCAGCCATTACTCCCTGTTTTGCTTTCAAGGGCCAAGCAGGAATATGTCTAATCTCTCTTACATAAGAGACATCTTCAAATACTTCACCCACCCACACTTGAATTTTCATTCTACAAAATGATTATAATCAATTCCTTAACTGATTCTCCCATGGAATAGACAGCAATAAATCTTCTGTGTGCATGCTCCAGCAATAAAGATTTTTCCTAAAATGTAACATCCAGGACAGAATAAAATACTCAGGTGTACTCTGAAAATGACAGAGGAGAGCAGTACCATCACCTTCCTCATTTGGGGCAAGATTTTGTACTATTGAAGAATGTTATATTAGCAGCCCACTAAGACCAACTGAACTTTTTTGAACTAATCATGGTTTATTTGGAGGGACTCAGGGACAGTTTGAGTCCAAATTAATTCAAATCCCAAAGGGAGAAGATGTAGAGTCAAAGTAGGGAAAGGAAAGACCCACCAAAGTCCCTCATGCCTCACAAAGACTTCTGGGCTCAGATGGACCTTGTTCAATCCTGGAAAATGACTTGCAAAAAACCTCTCTCTCTCTCTCTCTCTCTCTCTCTCTCTCTCTCTCTCTCTCTCTCTCTCTCTCTCTCTCTCTCTCTCTCTCTCTCTCTCTCTCTCTCTCTCTCTCTCTCTCTTTTTCTCGTCAGCTCATTAGTATTGCAAAAAAAAATGATAAAGAGAAACTGAGGCACAAATGTCTGAGCTCAGTCAATTTATTAGCAAGGTTAGCAATTACCAGTAAAAGAGGCTCCTCAGTAGCCCAGGATGCACCAACAACCAGAACAGCTCCTTTCATTTAGTCACGTAAGGTACCGGAAGCAATCTAGTGACGTAAATTACATAAATTTGTGATTGGTCACACAGAGAAGAAAGGTGGGCTTTGCTTGTCTTGACTCAGACAGCCTATTTCCATAACCCAGGTCAACAGGGAAAATATACAGAGTTGATTCACAACTCCTGAAAAATCTTATGGTGGATAAGCATTCTATGACCCAGTTGACTCATCTCTGCCAATGGTCAGCCAAAACTCAGAGATATGAGTCTTTGTGGTTGGCCTTAAGCCTAGAGGAATAGTGAAGTTAAACTTTTCCAAATTTTACCAATGAGGCTTATACAAGTAAGTCTATGGTTGATTTACAAATATTCATTCCAGCAATTAGATACAATTGTCAATCAATAAATAATCAACGATGCAAAATGAAGTGGGCCATCAGTTTTCAATTTCTGAATAGAGCTGTTCCTGGAAAATCAACTTACATGCTGATGGCATAGAATATTCCTAAGTTTCTCCCAGTATGGTCAAGATGGATTTCTAGCTCCTAGTAAATAATTCATTACCAAATACTGGAAAGCTTTCATTTCATCCCATAGAAAATATCAAAAGATGTGAAAATTCCAGCAGTAGAACACCTATTCAGGCACAGAAATAAATAAATCACCAAAAGAACAGATTAGCTAGAAGGGAACTGATGTTGAGATTGACATAAAGATACTACACTGACATTTCAGAGAAATTCTTCTCTCCCACAGGATCAATTAAAGTTCTTTGCCAATCCTTAGACCTTGTGGTTAACATTCCCTCAATATAGTGAACCATACCACAGAGGTGCTTGGGGACCACCATTTGGATTACACTTCTGTGTGTATAAGAAAAATATCCTGAATCCCACAGTAGGGAAAGTTCAGATTGGATTTTCTCTCTAATAAAAAGGATGGTCTAATTTAGGTTGTCTTCCTCTCACAGCTTTCATCAAAGCATTTTTTATCTCTTTATTCCTCAGACTATAGACCAGAGGGTTCAACATGGGGATGACCATAGTATAGAACACTGAAGCCATTTTGTCTGTGTCCATTGAATGACTTGAGCTAGGCTGAAGGTACATGAAGATGATTGTCCCATAAAATATGAACACTGCTGTGAGATGGGAAGCACAGGTGGAGAAAGCTTTCTGGCGGCCTTCAACAGAATGGATATTTAGGATGGTGATGAAGATTAACAAGTATGAAGCAAAGATGATGAGAAAAGGGAAAAAGACAGTGAAGGACCCTAAGATAAAGAGGACTAACTCAGTGATGTGAATATCAGAGCAAGAGAGAACTAGAAGAGGGGGAATATCACAGAAAAAGTGATGGACTATGTTGGACCTGCAGAAGAAAAGGCTAAAAGTGGTTGCTATGACTATGGAGGAGGTCAGAAAGCCACAGATGTAAGCACCACTGGCCAGATAGGCACATACTGTTGAAGTTATGGTAGTGGTATAATGTAGGGGTTTGCACACAGCAGCATGGCGATCATAGGCCATGGAGGCTAAGAGGAAACTTTCTGTAGTAGCAAAGGCCCCAACAAAGAACAACTGTGTAACACATCCATTATAGGAGATGATCTTGTTCCCTGTGAGGAGCCCAGCCATCACCTTGGGGGTAACAGTTGAGGAGTAGCCAAAATCCACCAGAGAGAGGTTACTGAGGAAAAAATACATGGGGGTATGGAGATGAAAATCCCAGGAGCTCAGAGCTATTATCCCCAGGTTCCCTACCAGAGCAGTAAGGTAGATGAAGGTGAACATTACGAAGAGAGGAACCTGAAGCTTTGGAACATCTGTTAATCCTACCAGGATGAAGTGATTCACTGTAGATCTGTTCTCCATAGGTGTCATTTGAGAGTGTTGTCATTCACCTGCAGCAAAAGAGAAAAAAAAAGTTCACTCTGTATGATGAATGAGTCCAACATACAAACCATGGTCAGAGACTTACCTTCTATGAGGGACAGAAATAAGGATTTAAGAAATCAGCAGAACCGAGGTATTTCTCAAAGTGATTACTCTATGTCCCCAAAATTCATTGATCCAGTTTCTCATATACATAATTCCCCATGTATGACTTCCCATCTTTTTTTTTCAATCTATTACACACTTAACAATTCCCAAAGTGTTGTGCCTATCTTTAGGAATGAGAAATACCTTAATTTCTGGTAAAAAAATTAACATAAGAAGGAAGATTATTGTTATTTAGGGTTGGAGAGTGAGATCTTTTCCTATGAATATACTTCACTCCGATCAAGAAGAGAGAAAAGTGGAATAAAGGAGAAGAGAGAAGAATAAAATCAGAGGAAAGTTAAAAAAGACTGAGAGAATGGAGAAGGGAATCAAAGAAAATCCAGGATTTCACTGGAATCCTGTTTAAGTGTGGAATCATTGTGGCTGTGAGGTTTATACAATGGACTGAAGTCATCATTTCCTCAGGGGGAACAAAAGCCAGTGGACACCAGTTGCCTAGTTGTGGGAGTTGCCTGTCAAAAGGGCCACTGGTGGATCACATAACAATATGTATGATTTCTAAATCTGTTTCCTTCACAGCCTGTCCCTTTTTGATTTTCTCCCCCACTGCCACTGTGGAAGAAGAAGGTGTCCACAAACAGGAGCATTTAGTCCTTTCATCCAATATACAGTTTTCTGGGTCCTGGGAAAATCCCCAATCTTTGGTTTAGTCTCCTTCAAGTTTGAGCTAAAATGTCACCCACGGGAAAACTTTCCTGATTCATCACAACTCCAGGGCCTCCACTCTTTTGATTTTCTCCAATTTATCCTGGATATAGCTTGTTTATACAGTTATTTGCATGTTATCTAGAGACTATGCACTCTTTGGGAGCAGGGACACTATCTTACCTCTCTTTGTATTCTCAGTGCTGAGCATATAGTTGGCACTTAAATGTCATTGGCTCCTTGATTGAACAGTGGTAACCCTCTCTATCTGAACTAAGCCAAGGTGACCTTTGGACATCAGACAAATGCACAGTTCATCCCCAGACTCCACCACTAGCCTTTACAACTTGGAAGTACCTTCCACAGTTAAATTTCACTAAATAGTCTTAGAATAAACACTTAGTTTCATCTGTACAACCATTAGACATTAGAAAAAAAATTCTTCATAGAATTTATAAGTAGGCTGCTGCACGCTATTTATAACAAGTTGTATCTTGGGGAAAAAAAAACATAGAAAACAAAATCAGAGGAACTTAAGTTAGTATATTTCCTCAGATGTCACCTACCTCAGCTCACATCTGACCAGGAGTCACCTCCACCAAAACGTGACAAAAGTCGTGTAAGATTAGAAAGGAAGAACATTGGTTAAGAAGGAAAAATGAATATATAGCTCTAATAGCCTATTGGGATCCCCAAGGAATTAAGCCTAGAAAGCAAGATGAAGTAGAATCTCTAACAGTAGAAAACAAATCTGGCTGCTAAGATAACACTCAGAGTAGAGAGATTGGACTCATAACTGGAATGTGGTTCTGGAAAAGTTTCTCCCTTATTCGAATGAAATGATACATTATCATACATTGTTATAATTTTTTTTTAAAACAGAGAATATATATTCATATGAGGATATCTAGGAATCAGAAAGGGAAAGCATGGTGAAAAGCATTTATACTGTTATCAGCAAAAAGTATACTTTTTTAGTGATCATTTATATTGAAAGAACTAGATCAGGAATTTAAAAGACATTACAAGTTGACATGAAGGAATGATACATTAGTACTAGGAGACTTTAATTATCTGGCCATATGCCAGAATGTTCTTTCTCATTTTGTCTCTCTCATTCTATTTCTTTGTCTCTCTCTACCTCTGTGTCTCTGTATTTCTCTTTCTCTGTCTCTATATCTCTGTTTTTATCTGCATCTCTGTCTCTCTCTATGTCTTTCTCTACTTGTCTGTCTCTGTTTTGACTTTGTCTCAGCCTGGTTTTCTCTGTGTCTCTTCCTGTGTCTCTATGTATTATCATCTGTCTGCCTAGCCAGATAGCTAGCAGCTCTCTTTCTCTCATCTCAAAATACACTTATCCATTTCTTGATGACAATGATATTCTTTCCAAGTTCAAAAGTGAAGAAACCAAGATGAGGAAATTCTATTCTGTATTTGATTCTCAAAAATGATGAGGAATTGTTAGGCAGGATCAAAGTAATGGAGAATGTTACAGGAATAGGAGGAAAGTAAGTCAATCATCTTAAAGACTGAGATAGAGAAACTAAAACTTGCAGTTGTCTGACATGCACATTAGGTTTGGGGTGGGTCAATTCCAGGTATTTCACAGTCAGGATAAAATAGAATCCTATGAATTAATTCTATGAGAAGTTCACACCTGAAGGAACAGAAAGATCCCATGAACAAAATTTTAAAAATACAAGAAGAAAAATTGTCAACTAGGCCAACTTATATATGAAAAAAAAATTGCAGTAACGAAATTAGAAAGGTAACAAAGGCTGACTGAAGAAGCAGAACTTACAGTAATAGAATCAGAGCAGTGCCAGGCCTCAGGGTGAGTGGAGGGAAGCCCAGAAAGCTAAAGAGTATAAAAAGATTGGGAGTTTTTTGGTGGGGGGGGTGGGATTGGCCATTTAGATAAATAAAAGATATAGAATTGGGTTGATTCCCAAGATTGACAAGAAAAGTACAGTAAATGACCAGCAAAGGTAGAGAAGCTCAAATCTATTTTGGTTCTGTTTTCCCTGGCAAAGGAATGATCTTTGGAGTTAGAAGGGAGAAAAGGGAAGAAGCATTTATACGGCAACCATTAAATGCCAGGACCTGTAGTAAGAAATTTAAAAATATTATTTCATTTGATTCTCACAACAACCCTGCAATGTGGGTGCTATTATCCCCATTTGAAAGTTAAGGAAACTGAGACAAACAGAGGTTAAGTGACTTGCTTAGGGTCACATCCTAAGTATCTGAGGTTGGATTTGTAGTCCAGAATTTCTGACTCCAGCCAGCCCCAGTGCTCTATCCCCTGTGCCAGAGATTCCTCTTTAAAGTTTGCCATATATTTGAAATACATTGATTCATACGACTCCCCAACAACTTTGTGACATATATGGCCAATAAGAAAATCAATCTGACCTTACACTGAGTGGAGGGACACAGTATCCAGGTATACAGAGGTGGTCATCCCCATTCTGTATTTGGAGCAACATGTTGAGTTGTCACTTCCACACTTTAGGAAGGACATTGACAAGCTAGAGATTCTCCAGAGGAGTTCAGCCAGCATGGAGAAGAACTTTGACATCGTGTCATATTGGGATTAGTGGAAGGAATGGAAGGTGTTTGGTGTAGAAAAGATAAAAGCTGAGTGTTGGCAGGGGTTTAGAATTAGTTACCTTCAGGCATCTGCTGGACTGGCATATGGAGGAAGGATTTGACTTGTTCTATTTGTATCCAAAGAGAAGAACCAGGAGGAAAGTGTAGAAGTTAAGAAAACACAAACTTAGGTTTGAAGTAAGGAAAACATTCTAAAAGTACTGTTACTCAGATGTGGAAGAGAATGCTATCACATACACTGAATTTCTCCTCAATTGAAGTTTTAAGGAAAGAACTAGGGGACCACCCATTCAGTATTTTACATAAGTATACACACACAAATGTATATCTATGTGTATATGTACAGCCACATCAATACTAGAAATACGTGTGTGTGTGTGTGTGTGTAAAATACCAAGGGGAAGAGAGACAGAGAGAGAAAACTTTTATTCTTTTATGGGAAGGTACAACTCCTAACCTTCTTATTGTCATGACATCCATAAAAAAGTCATCTCACCTCAGAACCTCCATTCACTCATGTGTCAAAAAAGGATAATATTCATGGCACCTACATCATAGAACTGTTCTAAGATCAGGAGGAGATAATTCTGTAAAGTGCTTTGAAAACCTTGAACCTTTATATAATTGTTATCTACTGTTGCTACATTAATTAGCTGTAATACTATTGCTATCTGTGTTGTCTTTGATAAGTTCCTCAAGGTCTTTTGCTTCTATGATATTTATGAGGCCTAGTTTCCTCATTGATAAAGAGACAATATTAGACTAGATAACCTCTGAGATCCTTTCCAGTTCTAAATCAATGATTCAGTGACACTTTTAACCTGCATTAATTTCAAGGGTTTTCATTATTCTTTATAATTCTACAGTAAAAAGATTATTATTCTAATGTGGTTAATGTGGGACTTAAAGATAAAACAAAAATTTTAAGAGTTTTCATTATTTTTCATAATTCTACAGTAAAAGGATTATTATTCTAATGTGGTTAACATGGGACTTAAAGATAAAGACAAAATAAATAATTAAAATTTCATCTCATAGACTATAAGGAAAGTAGAAAAAAATCTCTCTTAACAACTTAAGACAATGAAGGATTCTCCTTTAACATAAAAGGAACTATATTAAATAGAATACAATCAACTCAGAGTCAAGATTAATAGTGATATTGGTCTCCTACATGGCACTCTTGAGCCATGTTGGTAATTGATAGTATTGAATCAAATAGTTGTAGATATAGCTTATGGCAATCTCACTGATGTACTAAAGGGTGTGCCCTCTTGTGTTGCCGTGTCTAGAGAGAGCCCTTCTTGGATGCTGGGGCAGATCAGGGGATTTGTTTTCTACTCAGACACACTGAGGTATTGGCAGATAGTGCTATTTTGGAAAGAGCACTTATCAGGAGTCTGAAGGCTTGGCTCTAATCTTGCTTGGCTTTGAACTCATTTCTTCTGTGATTTCACAGAAGTTAATCCTTCTGGTCCTCTCTCTCTTGGTTTGGAAAATGAGAATCATGGTTTTCAAGTATGGAGGTCACACAGTGGTTGTGAATTAGATGTTTGTCAAGAATCAAGTGCTATAAACATGAAACCATGATCAGCAAAAGTTGGGCTTGTACATGATTATGAATGAGTGAGTACTCTGAGAAAAAAAAACGAAAGAAAGATAGAGGGAAAAGAAGATAGAGCTATTACCACTGTATGAAATACTAGAGTGGTAATGTGGTGTAGAGGATAGAGCTTTGTTTGATCTTTAACTCAAGAAGGTATGAATCTAAACCCTACCTTAGACCCTTATTAATTGTATATATCTGGACAACTCCTTTATGTCATTTTGCCTCAAATCATTTCTCTGTAAAAATGGCATAACAAAAATTACATTTATCTCCACTGTTGTTGAGATTCAAATGAGAAAATCAGTGTAAAGCTTTGCAAATGTTTAAGTTGTGTATAAATGTGAGCAATTGCCATTGCAGGCAAGGATTTTATCTCATCTAAATCTTGTTATCAGCCCCCCTCTCAAGAACTTAATGCAGTGCTCTGCACACAGTATTCCCTTAATCACCATTACTCAATTAAGTATTCATTAGCATCACAGGGCTATCAGCCCCTCAAATTGCTCCATCAGTTACTTGAAAGATAATGACCCAAAAAGCTGCACTTAGAAGGTAATAACTGATGTTTATAGAGCACTTTGGGTGTTGGATCACAATTAACATTCATGAATTTGTTTGAGGCCCAACACACCCATATAAGATCAGTACAATAGTAATTATAAACAGTTTATGGATATGAAAAAGGAAGAAGTCAAGTGACTTACCCATAGGAAAACAGTGAGATAGGGAAGGTTTTTGTCTGTGTCTTCCTGCCTCTAGATCCAACCACGTTTCCACTATACCATTTGTTGTATACATAACCACTGCATCCTTGGATTGGATATCCTAGAACTTAGCTGACTTGATATGAAGACAGGTGGCCATGACTCCAAAGAGGAGAGCTAGCCAAGAACTTTATATTCAAGGTTTGGCCTTGAAGTCCCAAGCCTAGGAAGCATGAGATCCTATTGGAGAAACTTTGCACTAGTCAGTAGGGCAAAGAATTCAAGGTTCCCATTGACAGAGGGATCTCTCTTGGTCATCATTGTGGCACGAATGGCAATAGAGTTAGCAATTCCCATCCCTACCTTCCATTTAGTTCCTTCTCAGGAAGCACAAAACAAATTAGATGAGTGAGTGAATGACTTACGGAATTTGACCCATAAGCTGGTTCCCCAGCACTGAGCCCTATAGTGGAATGTTGCTATGTCAGTAACTGAAGTCATAGAAGAGACAGGGACTTTATGCAGACCTGGGAACCCTGCAGCTCTTGGGAGATGGGGCTCCCTCAGAGACACCTGGCAGCTTTGCTGCCAACCCATGAACAAAAACAACCATTACATACTGCTCTGAACACGGAGGGAACCATGAGTACCCGCAGAGGCCATTTCCCTAAGGGTACTTTGTCATTCTTAGCTTGCTGTTATCACAGTGAAGTAGAAAGGGACCCAGACAAAGCCATAATTATTGTCATCATTGTCATCATCATCATCATCATCCTAACACCGGTACACTGACTATACTCTCACAAGAACTCCATTGAATGACTGACCCTTGTTATCAACCAGGTCATTGGAAAATTCACCAAGTAGAAGAATAACATGCAGATGATGAGTTTAAGTTGGAAAATTTCAACCTTGATACTGCAATGAAAGGCAATCTATATTTTGTTTCTGCAGAGCATTTCTGATGGTCCACTATGGCTTCAAAAATGCTTTTATTGAGAATACCTGGTGAACCTGCTTTCTAAACCTCCTGATATTTTGGCTTCAAGAATACAAAAGTTCATAACATCTTCATAATGTAACGTTCCAAAGTTTCCTAGCTATTGAGGTACAACTGCATGATCATATAAGGAAACAAGGGAGCTACTCTGGGGCAGTGGACAGACTGAAAAGTAGGGAATGCACTTGTGTGATAATTCACTGAGGATCAGATTACATTCAAATGTGGAACCCATGTGGTAATGTGAAACTAACCCCACATGTTGAACAACTGAAAGAATGACTCGTACTTATGAACAAACCATCTGAGTTCGATGTAATATTTGAACGTACACCCAAAATGTTGTGTACGTGGTTATGACAGTTCCAAATTGCTACAGAAACAAGGCTAAAATGTTTCAAACTTGTGCATGTTTGTGGTCATAGAGGGGAAAAAAAGATTTGTAACATAAATGAGTAATTATTTACAGCTTATGGTACCAGTAAAATATGGTTAGCTCCAACTCCTTGGACTATCATTACAAACCCCAAAGATTTTGTGAGCTATTAAATGGGAAACAGTGCACTAATTAAAGCATTCTACCTCTAATCTGTGGAAATATTCTGGCTCCTAGTCCAGCTTTTCAAGAAGTAGGTGCTTACAAGGTACTTATTGTATTCTTTTGAGAAAAGTGAATGGAAGCTCAATTCTGACCTGAACACTCCATGGGTAGGGTATTAGTGATGTCTGTAGAATGTACATTCTTCAAAACCTTCAATTCTCACCTGACAATAATGACTGTGATTTTCTTGTTCATTGAAGTCTATTGTGTTTATTGAAGGGAGTTATATGTCTACCTAGTATTCTATACTGGCAACCTAAAATGTAGTAATGAATAAGGTAAGGATGAAAAAGCATTTATCAAGTGCCTACAAAGTGCAAAGTATGTGCTAAGGGCTGGAGATACATATTAAAAACAGCCCCTTCTTTCTCCTGCTTTCAAGGGCTCACATTCTGCTCTAAGAGATGACACATGTAAGATGTTTCAGATGCAAGTGTCATATAAAGGACCAGGCTGCATTGACAAAGCAAATAGTAACAATCTTCCTTAAAATCATGTCCATTGATCTTATTATCTATTTATCATTTCATTGATTAAAAACAATATTAATGTCTGATGGTTAACCATTTCAAAGTGCCAATACCTTTGGTGGTAAGAATATTTTGCCCCTTAGTAGCACTGGTTACAGGGAGGACAGGGAATGCAGAATTGAAGAAACAATTGCCAGATTACAGCTCCAGAAGAGCTACTACCCTGGATGATGGCTTTAAGGAATATCCTGGAGGACAGGGTGGGTGGTCTCTGAGTTTCCAGTATTCCCAGGGCTTTGGGTTTATCTGTCTTTCCAGGGCAATTGTTTAGAGATCAGTACTGGTGGTAAAGGAGATGGTAGTCTATCTACCTCACAGACAGTAAATACCTCCCAGGGTTGTTGTGAGATTCTAATGAAATTATTGATGTACATAATCACATATAGATGTATATGTATATATACACACATATAATATGTATATATATATATATATATAATATATACATAATGAGATAATATTGTGTGCGTATGTATATATATCACTTAGCACAGTGCCTGACATAATAGCTGCTATTTAAATCTTAGTTATTATTATTGTTATAATTTCGTAGTAGTAGTAGTCATCCTTCTCTCATATAAGTTTCTTCTCTCAGTTATGAATGTTAGGCAAGGGCAAGACACTGTATTCTAGTTTATTGCCCATCCTCACCAGGTTCTCAGGGTGTTTAAGATGGCTGTTATGACCCATCTGCTGCCTGTTGCCAGCTAGTAAGTGTCTAAGGCCAGATTTGAATTCATGAAGATGAGTCCTCCTGATATGAAGTCCAGCGTTCTATCCACTGTACCATATGGCTGCCCCATAAATGCGTTATTTAATTCCTAATTTGAAGGTTTATGGGAGGAAATGGATGAAGTGTTACAGGATGAGAAAGTGTGGATGCATTACCATCTATATTTATAGAGAGAATATTTTCCAACCACGAGAATATCAAGGTAATTCTTTAGGTAAAGAATAAGAAAATCTGATTAGAAAAAGCTGAGAAAGGAGAAAGCTTTTCTTTAAATAACAATGAAACTATCTGCCCCACTCCCTTCTCATCTTTCCTTAAAGAGTTTCGATATCATAGGATATAAACTTGGATGGTCTCTTATTCAAATAAAAAAAAAACTAGACTCAGTGATATTTACTCTGATAGTTAAATTTTAAGCTAATTTCTCACTCAAGACTTTTAGCATTGGGATTTTTAACATCGGTGCTTCAGGGAATTAGACATGAGGGAAGTGTGAGCAGAGAGAATTTGTAAATACAGTGCAAGCCTTCTCTACTATCTGTTGTAAATGATATTCAAATTTAGAAACTCAGTCTGAATATATACTATAAATATACATATATGAATGTGTACATATACAGGTGTATATATGTGCATTTGCATATATAGACATGTGTAGATATATATTTTATATGTATGTATAGAGGGCATTTGGGTGGTGCAGTGAATAAAGCGCTGTGCCTACAGTCAGGAAGACTTCAGTTCAAATTCAGATTAAAATGTTTATTAGCTGTGTGATCCTGGGCAAGTCAGTCAATCCAGTTTGCCTCAGTTTCTTCCACTGTAAAATAAGCTGGAGAAGAAAATGGCAAACCACTCCAGTATCTTAGCCAAGAAGACCCCAAATGGGGTCATGAAAAGTCAGAGATGACTGAACAACAACAACATATTTGTGTATAAATATACACATATATAAACATGTATGTATGTATGTGAGTGCATGGAATAGGTGAACTTCGTCCTTAAGAAATAAGGAAGATTGAATTTAAGATGGAAGGGACCATAGAGAATAGAGATTCATTCCAGGCTGCTACTCCATATCATGAATTTTTCTCTCTTTGGGTCTTTGTTGCCTTCATTCAGTTAACTCTATGAAATCTTCAAATTAATTTATATACAGATCATGTTTAGGTTTCTTCAGGCCCCTGACTATGATGTAAGCATTCAGTGCATCTATAATAACTGGTAAAGGATAGTCTTTATGTTTCCCTAAAGAAAATGTAAAAGATGTTGTGGATTCATGGGATTCACTAACCAAGTGTAGAAAACACATCAAGATATTTACAAGAACCCACAAACTACATAATTCTGCTTCCTCTTCTGTTAATTCTTTTATTTCTTTAATTAAAAATTCCTATGTGGTACTACAAAGGCTCCATATTTCAGAGTCTGGAGTATCTCCCCAGAAAGTATCTCTTCATAGTCCTTTTGCACTAACCTTATCCAGATTACTTAGCTTCCTCTCTGAGATTGTCCTTAGGGAAGTGATTCACTGATGCAGAGTTTTCCCAGAGGCTCATTTCTAATGTTAGTTAACTAGAAATTGAACAAAAAAACCTCTCTGAGCTGCGAACCACTAAGGAAAGGTCAAGGGAGGCCATTCCCTCTCACATGTGCTAGGTGTGTGACTCTGAGCAGGAATGTCCATAATCCAGAGCAACAAGGAAAACACAAAGTTAATTAACATTCCCCAGGAGAGTCTTATGATGGGCAAACATCTTAGGACAAAGGTGAATCTTCCCCATCAATGGTAAACAAAAGTTCAAAGATGTGAGTCTTTGTGGTAGGACTTAAGCCCATACAAATAAGGAAATTAAACTCTTACAAATTTTATTAATGCAGCCTACACAATTAAGTCTACATTTGATCCACAAATATTAATTCCAGTGACTAGATAAAATTATCAATCAATAATTAATAAGTAGTCCAAAATGAAGTGGGGTATCAATTTTCAATTTCACATTACTCTCTGAATGGAGTTGTTTCTGGGAAATCAACTTACATGTTGATAGTATAACATGTTTCTAAGTCTCTCTCAATATGACAAAGATGTGTCTCCAGCTCATATAAAACAATTAAAATTCCCAAATACTGAACAGCCTTTATTTCATTACAGAGAAAATGAAAAATATTTTTAAAAATCACAGGAACCCTTATTCAGATACAGAAACATAGAAAGCACCCAAAGAACCTTTTAGCTAGAATGGAATTGGTTGTCATCAGGATACGACACTGACAATACCTTGAAATACTTCTCTCCCGCAGGATCATTGAAAGTTCTTTCCAGGCCCTTCCAACCACCCAGTGGTTTATATGCCTTCCTAAAGGCTGCAATGTTACACTGGTGGGCTGGTGCCAGCTCCAACTGGCTTGAAAAGAAATAATTGA